AAAAGCTTCTTCGATTCCTTGAGTAAACTTTGCAAGTTGTGACTGTGTAAAAGTTTGTGTCAAGATTTATTCACAAATAAAAAAGAATCAAGATTTTCGTTAATTTTCACCCATTTTTAGAATGATCGCGATTAGAATATTTGTTTATACATACATGCCTTACATTTATTCGTTCGTGAAAATAATCCCGATATAGATAATTTGATTATTATATGATGAATTCGGAAATTCGCTCTAAACTTTAAACAACAAGGCTTATTGTGGACCAAATTTAACTAGAAACGAATAAAATTGCCCAAATTGACATTTTTTTGTAACTCTTCTCCACTAAGAGCAAAGACCAAATTCCTGTAAAACACGGAAATAAGAGATTTATTCCGTCAGTCCCTCGAGAATCTTTTTGCATGCAATTAGTCAGCAGTAACATGATTTTGACAGCTTGGAAATCGTCAGAAGGATCAATCATGTCCAATGTAATATGGATTAGCTCGAAATCATTTTAATTAATTTTAATGTCAAGAAAATGATTTTTTATTGCCCTATGCGCTGTGGCATTAACAGATAAATTATAAAAAGTTTGCAAAAGCCATAGATGTGTATGCCATATATGCATTGTCAGCAACTTATCATCAACGCCTTACATTACATCCATCTAATTGATCACCAGTCACATTTTATTATTCTACAAGTCCACCACTAATTTAATGCATTAATTTTTTTTTTTTTTTTTCATCCTTCACCAAAAGAAGATTGAGTTATTTCCTTTGTTCAAAAAAATCAAAAAAAAAAAAAATCGGAATATTCCGAATCGGATTCGATGAGTTGCGACAAATAAGTTTAGATCAATTGTTCATGATGGTATTTATTCATTCATCTTTTTTTTTTTTTAAAAAAAAAAAAAAACACCCTACCAAACACCTTGATTAATGCGAGTTGTTGCTCGTATCTTTTATGTAATAATCAATAAATAGGGTTCAATGAGTTGTTTTCCTGCTTCGCTGCTTTAATTAACTTTTTAATTATTTATATATTTTTTTTTTTTTTTTTGTTTAATAATCTAAATATTCCAAATCTCTTAAACTTAATGTCCGATTATGGATTTGTTTATTAACGCCTCTTTAAATGGTTTTTTTTTGAAACAAAAGATTTGTGACTGTGCGTAGGATTAAATTTAAATTAATTAATTGGTTGCTACACCCAAAACGCCTTATTTTCCCACATTTCATTCATAAATGTGTTTATAAAGTTGATAATATTGTTTTAATACTTTTGGAAATTAATTATTATTTCTGTGACTGGCGTGAGATTATATGTAAAAAGGCGTGAATGAGGCGTAGGGATTAGTTATATTAATTATACAAGATTGAAATGACCACTTTTAAATATTTACTATTTCTTATTAATAAGATTGATTAATCATGTTATTAAACAACAATGGGAATTATATTGTTTAGACCTTGTTGTAGCTAGTTTTTAATATTTACCTGGTAAATAAACTTTGTCGATGAAACACAGAAAAACTTGATCAAATGAAATTGAAATAATTGAGACATATATGTATATATAATGAATATACCAGTTATGTATACATACATATATTAATTTAAATAAACAGAAATAAGCATTTGATTTGATGAAAATTCTGTTGTTTTTTATGTTGAATGATCTCATTAAAATCTTCAAAAATTCTTTTTTTTTTCCCCCTCGAATAAAAAAATTCGTATCACAATTGTAATCAGCAAATCTTCCATTGTTCTCTATCTCTCTATTCAACAATTTTTTTTTGAATCATAATTCCATTCTTTCAGGAGATTTTTTTTTTTTTTTAGTTAGCATGAATCTTTCATGTGGACTTTGACAAATCAACCGAAATGGACGATTTTTGAGTCTTTTTTTAACATAAAAAATAAAAAGTAATGTATTCTTTTATTTTGTTTAATGAAATCCTTTTGATCTCTTTTATAAATTGACAAATAAGGTAAATTTTATAATCAAAATAAATCTTGAAACATAACATCCTTCGGGAACACCTTTTAATGAATAAAAATAAAAAAAAGAGCATCAGCAATTTTTTATAGGTTTAAATTAATTAAGATTAATTAATTAATTATATAATAAATGATTACCAATTCCGAAATCATAATGAAAGTCACCGGTTATATTAATTTTCAATATAAATTTCGGCAAATCTTTAAGTTAAAAATAAAAAAGACACATGTATGGAGTTTATTTATTTATAATCATAAAATCGGATCGTATTTTGATAAATACCGATTTTATAGATTAATAGACACCAAAGGTTTATTGATGACACGTACAAATAATATTCTAAACAAATCATTTTTTTTTTTGATAAACCCTGACCTGTCAAAAAGTTTTCGTGTTATACGCCACCAGAAACGTGCGAGCATGATGTAATAATGTGGGGTAGGGACTTAATCTTGTCGCTCAAATCGTTCGTTTGACAAAAAATCATTTACTGCGTTCGTTTATTTCATTCAATATAATTATAGAATTTTTTTTTTTTTTTTTTTTTTTTTTTTGCGAAAAATAATGTGTTTCGTGCAGTCGAGCCTTTCTTTTTTTTTCGAAGATAGTTACACGATATGATGTAACACTTGACATCACTGCATGTTTTTCGGTCGTTCTAATTTGCTCATAAATGAAACAATGAAAGTTTGTTTCATTCATTTCTTTTATGCAATATATATATATATATATAAGATTTTTAAGGGGAAAATGATTTTTTTTTTTTCTTCTATTCTGTTATTCTGTGAATGTGATATAAAATGAGAATAAACATAGTAAACATAGCCACGAGGCTGGGGTGTTTTTTTTTTTTTTGCCTGATCCCTGCATTGTGTATATTTCATCACGTAAGGATGAGTCTTTGACCTTCTATTCTGGATAAAAAAATTTTCAGTATAGATAAAAAAAAGTTCTTTAATAAAACACATTGGGTTCCCACGGGATTTTGTTATGGCTCTTGCTTGTGTAAGCCCGAGATGTGCCGGGTATCATTTTCGGTTGCACAATAGAATTTAAAAAAGGAAGTAATTTTCGTAACATCATCTTTATGAAGTGAAAAGGAGGAGGATTCCCATTTTGTTTAATGTATTGACAAATAGTTTTTCCCATAAATATTACACCAAGAAGATTTCTTCAAAAAAGAGTTGGCTTTAGCACCTTGGATTTGTTTTGATGTACAACAAATTACATTTAAAGTATGATCCATAATATATAATAAATGCTACAAGGTTGTTGGTTATTCTCTCGCATAAACAGGATTAATCCGGTCAAATAAATGAAAATCATCTTTTTGGAATGGTTTGTTTTTATTGAAATTCAATAATGGGGGGTTTATTTTTTTTATAATAATAATAAATAATATTCCCCAACAAAAAATAACAAAAAATGGATTTTCTATTACCCATCACACTTAAAAAAACATTTATTAGAAAAGATGAATTTCCAACAATGACACAACATCATAACGGGATGCTTTGTTTGTAGATTATCATTCCGGTTTTTTTTTATTATTCATTCATGTATGTTATGATTGAAAAAAAAAAGAGATTGGGTTTCGTGCGAATTCAAACCCAAGAAAGAATATTAAATTAGCATAATTACATTTTTATACGAAAACAATGGACTTTTGGTATTCTTGAGTGATTAATTAATCTAGTTTCATATGACAATTGAAAGCCAGTTTCCCAAGCGTTATCAAAAAGGATAAAGGACTTTGCATACATGTACATTGTAACACTACCCCGTTATACATCACATATTACATCTTTTTTCTCAACACACCATTTCAAGTCTTGATCAAAGTCTTGTTTATTGTTTCTGTGGGATTTGGATACACATGAATGAATTAGTTTATCAACTAACCCAATGTCATTTGAAAATTTGACATACTTCAACATTTTTAATTGTTTCTCTTTTGTTCGTAAATCATGTCATACCTTTAAGCATACAGGCACCAATACCTGATACAAGCATCAACAATAATCTTTTTGGGTGCCAATAAATTTGCTCTTTTATCTTGCAGTCATTGCTTTCCAATATTCTTTTGAATGATGTCAATTTCTGAAATTTATAACTGGAAAACTCGGTATTTGATGATCTCATTGGAAATTTTTTTATAAAAAAAAAAAAATTTCGAACTTTACCATTAATATATTCTATTACTTTTCAATTACCCAGTCGTAGGTTAGTATTTGCTGCATCGTGGTGGTTCAGTAATTCATTTATTCTGCAGAATCCTTTATTCATTTTTTTTTTCCTTGCTTTTTTTTAAAAAAAAATAGTAAAGATATTTATCATTTCCTTTCCATGTGGTCTTACAGTTTTAACTCAAGTTCTCTAAAAAATTTGATTTTTTTTTTTTTTGTTAAATAATGATGAACTACACATATATACATAAAAAAAAAAAAAAAAAAAAAAGAGAGAAAATACAAAGGTGACACAAAAGAAAAAAAATAAGGGGTAAATTGTAAATAAAAACCATTACAAAGAAATTTAAAATACATAATTATTTTATTTTATTATAAAAAAAAAACTCGGATTTTAACAAAACAAAATATTTTTTTTTATATTGTTTTTTACAGTAAAATAAGAACTTAATATAAATAAATTTTTTTTTTTTTTTTTTTTTTTTTTTTACATAAAAAAATGAAGATATATAAAACACGAAGATTTTTATATTCCACCCATCATCCCTACGAATTTTTTTTTTGGTTCAAGTTTTTTTTTTTAAATCTTTTGATTAGAGTGATCACATTCCTTGTCATTCTAAACCCATTTTTTTACCTTTTCGCCTAAAATACAGAAAATATCGAATTCCTTTCGCTTTCTCCTTTCGTTATTTTCTATATCACACCTGAGAAATATAAGTCTTTTTAAAAAAATTTCATTTTTCTTTCTCTTGTCTTATCCTTTTCTTGTTTTTAAAATAAAAAAAAAAAACCAAAAGTTCCTTTTTTTTAAAAAAAAAAAAAATGAGTGACGTCTTTAATAATGACTGTTTACTTACGGCAGATGATAGTGATGTATGTAATTAAATCATTCATTAGCATTTCATTCATTTGGAATTTTTATCATTATAAATTTTCGATTAATCTCATTTTACCTTTTTGTTTTCACTGTGGGTTTTTATTTACAGGTCGATCAGGATTTGCTGTTTGTAAGTATTTGTTAACGAAATGAAAAATTTGTCAAATAAACAAAATTTTAAACACCAATCAATCTATACAGCATCTAGCATTCAAGAGCGTCCTTAAGAAAAACTATCTGTGTCCTTTTGACGACACCATTAAGGTAAATTATTGAAAATCTAATCTTTGCCTTCTGTTTTCTTTTAAATCATCTAACGCTAACACGATTATTACCTTTCATTTTAATTTTGTAGAGATGCTTGGATGTTGGGTAAGCAATTGTTTATAAAAGTGCTTGGTCGGAAATTCTAATTTATCGGAAATTCTAAAAGTTTAATTCAACTCACTTGGTACGAATCTAATTTTTCTATAATATAGATGTTCTGGAGGTTCTTGGGCCATGGAAATGGGGACGTGAGTACTAGATCATTTCGGTTTTAAATAATTGAAATAGTTTAAATAAGAGAATTGGAAATAATTTTCCTTGAAATCAGCTAATCTTTATGATAACTTTTTTCATATTTAGCGAGTTTCCTCAATGTCAATTTATTGGAATCGATATTGAATCAAGAACACCAGACAATGTTTACCCGCGTAACGTCCTATTTGAGGAAAGCAATTTCCTTAGTAGTAAGTACCGTAGAATGAAAAGTTTGTTTTCCGAAATTTTATGGGTTACAAGGTTAATCTTTAATTTTTAATTTTTTATCAAATTAGAAGGGTTGCCTTACCCCGATAATAGTTTTGACGTTGTGCATATCCGCATGACGTTATTCCTGCTTAATGCAGAACAAATTTTTTTCCTCTTGGGCGAAGCGTCCAGGGTAACGAGACAGGGTGGGTTTGTAGAGATCCTGGAACCAGACTTGTCTGCGGACTACTCGGCCCCTTTACTGGGTAAGTTGGTGGCGGATATCAAAGGGGCTAATAATATGGGAGTACATCACTACGATAAGATATTAATGGAACATGGATTTAAACCCACCATCCATGAGAATTTCATACCGTTGGGTAAATGGGGTGGAATGACCGGAGAATTTGCTTTATCAATTTTAAGAATGGTATTGCATAATACTGCCCATTCTGATCTACGCAATGAGGAAAATATCAAACGAATTGGAATTGAATGTGAGCTGTATAAACCTCAGGTTAAGATCTTCTCCGGGTTTGGTCAAAAGCTGTAACAAGCTTGTAACCCTTTTTTTTTTTAAAAAAAAAAAAAAAAAAAAAAAAAAAAATTCTCAATATTAAGTTAATTACAAAAAAAAAAAAAAAAATTCTAAGATTACCATGGGAAGGTACACTATTAAGCTTTTTAAGCCCTTTTATCAAAATCAAAAAACAAAAAAAAAAAAAAAAAAAAAAAAACCCATCCACAACAAATTATTTTTATTTTATTTTTATATATATATATTTCTTTATAAGAAATTCTAAGCCGAAAAAAAAAAAAAAAAAAAAAAAAATCTTTTCCCTGTTAGAATTTAGTTTAGTTTCCTAATTAACGCGCGTTAATTTCTTTCCGTCTCGTTTTCGTTCCGTTATTCTTTATCGGCACGAATTTTAATCTATTCGTTTTTCTAAGAAAAAAAAATTTTTTTCTCCGTATTCTTCATTTTTTCTTTTAATTTTTATATTTTTTCTATTAATCATTTTTTATTTTTATCTAATAAAATCATTTTTTCGCACTTGATCTATGAAGTCATGATTAAGTGAATTGTTAAAAAAAAATAAGTGTGGGTTGAATAAATTTATAAACTTGAGAACGTTGTAATTAATTTATCTCGTGAAATTTATATTCGTCGCCAAGCAGAACCTTAAAATTTTCACCGGATAATGACGTGACAAAATACAATCTGATCACTTATCATAAAATTAATTATCTAATCAGACTTTAATAGGGTAAATATTAAGATAACAACTTTATTAAAGGTAAATATTAAGGTAACAAAATGGTAATGATTAAAAAAAAACAATAAAACGTTTCATTTTCGCATCTCGGCATTAAAGCTTTAGAGATTTCCGCAGCATTCAGGCCAAAAAAGTTGCCCAGAAGGTTATACCCGAACTTTAAGGATTTCTATTTAAAAAAGTTCGCATGCAATAAACAAAGGGAAATGGTTGGATTTAGTAATTCATGTAATTAGAACCAATCGCGTTTGAACCAAACCAAATTCCACAAAAGTAAAAAAAAAAAAAAAGCCAATCCATCATCGTACATACAAACGCATTTATACCAAAATAATGAATTCCGTAAGTTTTTTTTTTTTCTCCTCTAACAATAGAGGATTGTTACAATGCCTTTTTTTTTTTTAAAAAAAAAAAAAAAAGGAAAGCGAAGCAGGTGTGCAGTAATAAAGGTCTCCCCCACAAATATTGCATAATAAGCGACAAAAAATTTTTTTTTCTTACTAAAAATACAATTGTTAATGACATTCAAAGAAATTTTTTAAGGACCGAATTTAAATTGATTCACTAAACATTGATCGTTTTTCTTTGTCATCAAATGATATTCCTACTTAAACTATAAACATGTGCATAAGAAAGAAAAAGGCAACAACGCAATTCTCAAAGGTTAGTATAATTTAGGTTAATGCGATAAGCTCGGGATTCTGGGTTTTTGGTATAAATTACTTTTTCTGCATTGACAATGGGAAGCCTTGGATGGGACAGTGAAACATTTTGGAATTCTGTTGGCTGGATTCACGGTTTCTCTTAACCTTTTAAAGTTAAAAGGAAATTCCATCGAATTGGTGATTATATAATTGTGCATTATCTGTGTCTACCCATCTAACCAAATTTTCGTCGTAGAAAGAACAAAAAATCCTTTATCATTTGAAGATACCGGGTAACTCGAACCTTAAGTTAACGTTTTCTATTTTTAATCAAATACGTACCATAGGGATTTCTCATTAAGTAAGCGGATTTGTAATCATGAGAACTTAAAATGATTGATTGGATGGGAACTTTGGCTTTTTATGCGGTATGCTTAACTGGGAAATCGGATGAATGAATTTAAAATAGCATAAACTTTTGTTATTAGCCGTAAATTTTTTTTCAAGTGTTTTGATCACAAGAAGGGTAAAAATACGGAAAATCCGTTAAAAAAAAAATTTTTTTTTTATTGAATAATCATTTTAACATATTGAGACAACAAATTTTTATTCGTTGCAAGTCATTTCTAAATAAATGTCCAATTGTATGTAATGTACTCATTGCTTGCTTACGAAACAACCCAAATTACATCATTGCACATCCCTTAAATTGAGTTTAACGACTTAAATCCTTCTACGCGTTTTGATCTACGTTATTTTGAACAATTGATTTTTTTGTCATCCTTTTCAATTATTGTAATTATTATGTAAAAAAATTTATTTATGTGTAATTGTGTAAATGATTTTATTTTGACAGCTGGCGTGCATCCCTTTGCATGATATGACCTTTGAACTTCTCACGAATTATGTTGGCACGTTTTGCTTTATCAATACGATTTTTACCAATAAAGTAATTCTTTTGGCTTCGATTTGATTCAAGATAAGGTTTTTGATTTGATTCGATATGCTTAATATACCTTGAGTAACCTGTCAAATATCAAGTGACGCATGTCAATATCTGTTGAGTTCAACGTTATGTGAAAAAAATGATGATAAATTATTCAGTTGGTGTGTAATATTTCGAAATGTTACAATTGTTATTGTATCGGTGTGTAACAAAGAATACGGGTTTTCACGTGTCAACTTTCTCACATTAAAATATTCTATCGTGTTCATTTCAATGATGTAAACTTTACTTTGTCTAATTTGAAAGTGGAAAAGTGAAAAAAATTGATGCTATCTCTCAATCCTTTAATATCTTTCAAGGATTTTCAGATGTGAAATAAAAACGTACATATATTTTACAACTTTTTGTGTACCTTCATTTTATCCTAAATTTTCCTTAAAATAACACCCGCTGCTAAAATCTTGCGACAAAAATTATCACATAACTATGATCGACATAACTAACTTCTACGGTTCGAACTTATAATCATATTTTAAATAGGAAATTTCCTTTTGCTGTCAGTTTCATCCCGCCCATTTAAGACAAAAATTAGAAGCCTTCATATAACTTACTTTCTTCGAACGATATCTTAGAATTAAAAAAAAAAACGAACCCTTCAATATCACATTTTCGAACTTTAATGTCGAGAAATTAAAAAATAAAAATTTTATTATTTCAACAAATGACAAAACAACTAATATCATTGATTTTATTTTAATTTGTCTTCATAGACTACAGTAATTTGGTGATTTTGAAGTGTCATATACTACAGCAATTTCGAGCTTTGAGATTACATCATATAGGGAATGAAGAACTTTCATGTTTGGACAATGAATAATAAAACATTTTGGTGTCCTTTGTCTACAAAGCATTTGAATATAGAACTATTGATTCCATTTAAATGTCACCCATTGCTATTGTTACACTGAATTTAATTTCGCCCGAAAACTCCATAATTTCGCATGTAAATCGTTTTCGATATTTGCAGTTAGTCTTTTTAAGATCATTTGCCAGGCTGTCAAAGGTGCCGGTATGACAAAATGTCAAGACCTAATAATTATTTTTTATAAATACGAGCTGGAAATACTAAACAGCTCAATATTCCACGCTCGCCCTTAATTTGCATACATACCCCTCGAAATCCTTCCTTCAACCCCTTCGCGATATTTTCGCTTTCGCCGTTTTAACATTTTAGATTTCGTATTTATAACCGTTTATTTTAATTTCCGTTTTCTTATTATTTTATTACTCAACTTTCGTAATTGTTCGTAATTGCGTAGTTTTAATTAATTAGAATTTATTGATTGGCATTTACTTAGTTTAATACATTGTCTTTGCGAAAGTGTAGAGCAACACTGATTAATTTGATATTATTAAATAATTATTTTGTCACAATTACTTTAGTTTTTTCAATATAAGCCTTCTGCTTACAAAATTCTTTACAAATACATAAATGAAAGAACTGAATACAACATATGGCGCCTTCTGTCCGAAATCTAAGAAATCATTAAATTTATATGTTTAAAACCCATTTTGAAAAAAATAACACACATAAACGGCTCCATTGAAAATTACGCCAAAGAAATATCACCACTTACCATCAAGATCCGTCCTGTCAAAATTGTTATCCTTTAGAAAATTTACCAACAAATCGATTTCATAGTTTTTGGAATTAGTATTCAACAGAATATTTTGTAAAAAGTTTTACTGAAATTACTTAACAACTCTTTGAGGAGCTTTCTCAAAAAATTCAAAAGGAGAAGAAATCTGAAAAATAATTTTTAATTTAATATTTAGTATAAAATATACATGAATTCTGAAAGAATAATTATCCAGAATGAAGCGAAGGATAATATATGTTTATGCACTATGAAAAAATTTTTCAGACAAGTGTTCTCTGTCCACTCATGTAATCTTTAACCAATAAAATCTCCAATTTTGAAAAATGTTAAGACTCAACAATTGTTCCATTTCCTAGTATATTGTAATATAACAGATGATATATAATACTTTCATTCTTACTAAAGAATTTTGCAAAGATTCTTTTGTTAATCTTTACAGCTCATAAAATATCACTACATTAGTACATTTTAAAAACTCACTTATACTAAATCCTATTACTCTAGCTGATAATACTATTTAAATCAATTTATTTTTAACAATAAACTATTAAATTTAAAAAAAGAAATCATGAAATGATAGCTTAAGCAGTAGATTTGCAAAGTTTGACTGCACAATTATAAGCTTTATAAAGAGTTTGAATAATCTAATACAATCACGCCTTGATATAATGAAGTAGCTGATGATTAATATAATAAGAACTCTTCATGATTAAAAATTCTGATTTGTATTAAAAACAAAAAGTCAAAATAATAATCTAAGCATTGTATTATAATTATGTATCATATTATGAAAATAACTTACGCAAATTTAATAAATATAATATATCAGAAAATTAGAGTAGATCTATAATAATAAATAATTATCTTGGTAATGAATAAAAATCATTATAAAATCATTTGCTATAATTTAGTAAAAAATCAATAAGCAATTTCAATATAAATTCAACAAAAAATTGGTCAAAAATTAATAAAAATCAATGTGATTTCTCAACACAATTTCAACAAAATTTTAACAAAATTTTAAC